TGTATATTAGATTTTATTATTCCAGATTTATTTATTATTGTATTAAAACTATAAGATGTGGGAAAATGTTTCATCGTTTTTTTTTTATTGACCAAAACGGTCTTCCATACGACAAATTAACCATGCTTGGAAAGGATTAAAAGCCTTCAAAAAGTTTAAAAGTTACGATAATGAATTTATTTTGAAGTTGAAATAGTCTCTGGAATCTACAGAAGAGGATTAGGCCACTGAAAAAGTTTGAAAAAAGTTATTTTAAAAAAAGTTAATTTTTAAATAATATTTCAGTTTAATATGGGAAAAATGCAGAATTCTTACTTTAATTTCAGAATTCTGTCTTTCTTTTCAGAATTCTGCCTTTAATCTCAGAATTCTAACTTTAATCTCAGAATTCCGACGTTAATCTCAGAATTCCGACGTTAATCTCAGAATTCTAAATTTAATCTCAGAATCCTGACTTTAATTTCAGAATTCAGACTTTAATCTTAGAATTTTGTACTTTAATCTCAGAATTCCGACTTTAATCTCAGAATTCCGATGTTTAATCTCAGAATTCTAACTTTAATCTCAGAATTCTGACTTTAATCTCAGAATTCTGACTTTAATCTCAGAATTCTAACTTTAATCTCAGAATTCTGACTTTAATCTCAGAATTCTGACTTTTTTTTATCAGAATTCTGATTTTTTCCGGGTCCCTGGTGATGCTATTTTATTAATGGAAGAACAGAAGGTGATTAAAACAAGAGAGCTAGTTTAGTCTTTAAAATTATATATATTAGGGCCACAGAAAAAATAAAAAAGTTAACTGATTTTTAAATATTATTTCAGTATGATATGGGAAAAAAGTCAGAGTTCTGACTTTAATCTGAGAATTCTGACTTTTTTCTCATATAAAACTGAAATAATATTTAAAAATCAGTAAACTTTTTTTTTTCTCAGTGGCACTAATCGTCTTCCGTAGAATCCGTGTTTGTTTTGTATAGTTAAAAAGAAGAAATATTTGATAACGCTGCCTACGTCACGTCGATGAATCAGTTCCGCGTCATGCGTTTAGAGTAAATTACGGCCGTCATTTGCAGGTGAGCGGTGTTGCAAGACTTCTTGACAATTAAGGCCCGCAGGTGGAAAACAAATAAAGTTTCTCAAGACAAGCTGATGTGTCAGAGACAGAGCAGGACACGCAGGATGTTCCTGCAAGTCTGAACAGATCCAGGTGGATGATGATGATGATGGTGATGATGATGATGCAGACGCTCCTCTCCTGCTGAGCAGCTCTCTGCAGAGCTTGTCTGGGTTTCGCATGTCTTGTTGCTCCTCCTCCATCGCCTTAAGCTGAGCTCGCAGCTGAGAGAAGCTGAGGAAGCGGCAGAAGAGAGAGGAACGGAAGAACCGAGAGCTGATCTAAAGCGAACCCAGAGACATGGCTGAGAATAAAGTGGGCCCGAACCTCCAGGCTGGAGCTGGACTCCTCGCCAAGCGGGTCCAGAAGTCCCTGAACAGAGCGCAGGAGAAGGTAAGGAGGAGATGATCTTCTTCAATGATTATTGGCAGGAGGAGGCGTTAAACGCTGCCAGCAGTTTGGAGAATATAGACCAGTTATGATATATAAAATAATTATAATCCAGGACTGTTTCCTAAGAGACTTCTGAACTAACTTTTTAATTATAAAAATATTTTTTTGCTCTATTAATGTATTTGTTCTCTCTAAAGGGAAGAGCACGCGGTTATTTAACAGAAACCATGAAAGAAATTGTAGAAAAGGGCCAAACCTGAACCTTTAGAGCGCTCAGTGTTTAAACCAGAAACATCTCACTGCAAACATTTCAGTTTAAAGCTGTCTTCATGGGAAACCTTCCCTCTGATTACTGTTACTCTGCTGCAGAGCTGTTCCACTACAAACACTAAGCTGCCACTTCCTGACTTTGACTTCCTCTTGCTTGCTCTCTTTCTCTCACTCACTGGTTAACAGGTTTGATTTTTCTCCACCAACTCTAAAAAGAAACAACATTTTTCTTTCTACTATTAGAACTGAGAGAGTTTATGAGGTGGACTCTGTGATTTTTATTTTCCCACAGACAGAAAATGAAAGGAGGTACATAATGCTCAGGATTTAGTTGAATGTGTTGAGCTTTGAGGAGGCTGTAATCGGTGGACCGTGAAGAATCGTGTGTGGATAGCCACATTTTTTCTCCTTTGGTTCAGTATCTGCTGCATGTTTGAGTATCACTCTGTTGCGATAAGGAGGTCAGCTTGACCACATCATCTACAGCCTGCTGATACTGTACATTAGATATGCAATAAAATAAGAATCGGCCATTTCATTTCATTTAAGATCTTAGATCATTTTTG